TCTAGTAGAACTTTTTTAGTACTGCACGTATTGAGACAAAACTTTCACTACTGAAACACGTGTACTTTCAAAACAAATCACTTTCTAAACATTCTAAATCCGACCACTAGAGGCGCTGCTATAGAATAAAGTGCCCAAATTCTAAGTGGACCAGACTTAAGATGCATAAAAATAGTGCAATCAATACATAACTGTGGACAATTGATGGTTTCTTGCTTCATATGACTTAAACCGGATGTTCCGGATACCGGCTCCGGTGGTCATAATCTACTTACTCTCTATATTACTTGAATTTATGCCAAATTAACCGATTGTTGGTTATTGTCATAGCAAACACATATTATTTTTTCAGCATTAGAACCAAATTTAACGCGATATAAGTGAAATTTTAAATTCTTCGAAAATAATTCCCATACAAAGTTGAAACCTACCTCTAAATCTTCATCAATCTTCACCATTTTTTGCATAAACTCATATTTTGGGGCTATGAATCAAACTCGAGTTTGGCCTATGATAAATTTAACACTTTTTTTTCAAAATGAAGCACCGTAATGTAGAACAGGAAGTGTCTATTTAGTGTGGATCTTAATTAATCATATTGTCGAGCAGATTTGGAACATCCTTCTACCAGGTATTCTAAAAAAAAATTCCCAATACTCCTAGGTGATAAAATTCGAATGATGAGAAATATTAATTTAAACTGCTGGAATTATATGATCCATTATTAAATACAAGTAACGTATCTGGAAGGATTCCGATCCTTTTCTGTATTTTAAAAATCACACCCTGGTGATATTTCACGAAACACCGTTGTGCAAGGTTGCAAATACTCATTTCAGCTAAAATAATGTTTTTTTCGAAACAATAAAACCAGAAGATGGTATGATGACATGTTTTGCTTGTAACTTACAAGAAGGGGTTAAAACATAAAACCTGTCAATTTTTCTTTCTATGAGTCACAATCTGCTGATCGCTGAGTGACTGAGTGAGTGAGTGAGTGAGTGTGTGAAAAATCGCTGATTGTGACTCTCATGAAGTGAAATAAACAGGTTTAATATGTCAAACACATTCTTTGCAACCTTTCTTGTATCTTACCAATTCAAAATATGATCATAGCATCTAATTAGTTCATAATTAAAAACAACATTGTTTTAACTGAAATGAGTATTTGCAACCTTGCCGTTGTGTATGCTTCGGTCTTGGTGGGTTTTAACTATAAACTCGGATATTTGTCTCATGATTTAAATCCTGATCGTAAATAACGGAATTTGCTCCCTATTTATAACGACATGATGGACAAAAAATCGAAGAAATATTTGAAACTATGGTATACGCTGTATTTATTCGCCGCCGGGATGTTCGGGATGTTCTGAGGCATAGCATCTCTGATCATGCCTTCCTTTGGAAGGGAAGTAAAGCCGTTGGTCCCCGATTCATGAGTTGATGGATCGATAGGTAAGGTCCTGGTGTGGGAGCTGCCTAACTAACATTTTCAGCTTTATAAGCCAACTTTTCCAGTATTGTGCTGTAAAGTAGCTGAATAAAAGCTGCAGATACAGCTACAAGCAGAAGCTAGCAAAATAGTTTTGGAGAAAGTTTACTCAACTTTTTCACAACCATTATTCAATTTATCAGTCGCACTGAAAAACAGCAGCCAATAAACGCTAATACCACTTCTGTGCAAATATGAATCAATTTTCAACTTGTAGCTGCATATATAATGCATAACATAAACATCAAAAGTGCTTTTTCAACAACTAAACAAGCTGTACTCAGCTTATAACTTAGCGCTACTTTGGAAGCATTTTTACAGCCAACTAGGTTTATTTTTAGACGTGTGCAGTTTTACAACCTTTACTCTGCTCCTTTACAAAGCTGAAGTAACTAGTCGAGAAAAGTGATTCATGTGCACTATTATAAAGCCGCTACTCAACGGTATTATTTTAGAATGTCATCTATATTTGTTTACGTTAGTTAAAAGTGTTGGCGAAGCGAAGTTGGTAGTGTCAAGGTTTGCCAATACGGTCGTCTCGAGTTCGATTCCAAATTCCGGTGCAGGGTAAATAATTTGGTGGTGTGCTTATAACTAATTTCGATTAATTTGATTCTCACAGCAAAATAAACTCAATCAATTCCTCCAACAAAAAAAGCGTTAATAATATTTAACCCGGCTTCAAGAGAAAGCTGTGTAGTTATTATTGGATGACCGGGAAAAGGTTGAATAAGCGCCTTTCAAGTTTGCACACAACTAAACAGCAGTATAACAGCTGTATAGAAGCGTAAATGGAAATGCAATAAGAGCTTGTTCCAACCGTCCCAACAGCCATAAGTAGCTGACTAAGTTTGCCAGATTTGCTTTTATAGAGGTTGAGTAAAGGTAGCCTCATATCGTATAACGTTTGAATACAGCTTAAGGCTGTATAAATGAAATGAGTAAAGCCTTTACATTGCGAAAATTGTTAGTTGGGTGCCTCCCTGGCGTCGGTAGCATTGGTGCTCAGAACGGAAGGTCGACGGAAAACAAATCAAGGAAAACATATTTGAAGAAATAATAATAAGAGAAGATCAAATATAAATCACATAAAATCAGATTTGATAGTAAACCTAATCGGCGATCCAAAAATAAACCACCACTTCTTCCTTATAACTTCCAAGGTGTTTCTTACACCTTGTGACAGCTTGTCAAAGCTTAAAGTTCAATTTTTACATCTTTTCTTAATCTAACAAATTTTATTAAAATTTCGTTAGAGTAAGGTAGGACAAAAGTTCAACCTTAGCTGAAAAATTAACATGTCTCAAAACTCCAAACATTTGAAATCAAACTAATTCCATACACATGATCCCTGATTCAAGGTTTACAACTTCATATTTGATCAAAAATTCGCAAACATAATGGCAGTTTTTGAGAAGTTTTGCCACTAGATATTTTTAAATGCTCCGTGATGGTGTGAAGGAGATAATGCAATCACATATTTGTGCCCAGATATTGTCAAAACATGGCGAACAACAAAATTAACTCGAATATAGTGGTTTTCACAATAAATAACATAGGGTCACCATTTTTTCGAGGCTTTTGTCACATTCTGCTCCATTTTTAGAGTAAATGCGTTTTAGACATTTATGAATGATTACATGGGTTTGAGACATGACTCGAAGCGTTTCCCCGCTGCTCGAACTTTTGCCCCACTAGCCAATTCCAGCTTCCTGATGACATATCTAAAGCGCCTGATACTCCTAAAATCATCTTGAAGAAAAACGCAATCATGCCCTGAAATAAAATTACCCCCTCACTATTGAATGTTTCTTGTTGTACGCACCCAAATTTGATACAAATGTTATTATTTATCATCCCGAAACATAATTTTGCCTATAAAATTCTTCGAAAACATTACCAAATTTTTGTGATTTTTTTTGGAGAAAGTTGTACCAAAATATTGAGTTTTATTTTGCACGGGATTGGATAACCTCAAAACAAACTTTTGTCCCGCCCCTCGATTTTAATTTTAACAAAATGTTGTATATTTTTTTTCAACTGCTTTGATGATTTTTTCACATAGTACCCTGAAACCTCGCCTGAAACATGATTATAGCAACATGTGTCATTAATGGCGGAAGTTGATACAATTATATTATAATTTAGTTATTTCTTTCTGGTCAGGTTGCTTGCTTCAGCCAAATTAGGCGCCATCAAAAGTTCTAAAAGTGTCTAACACATCATTTGCGAGAATACAATGAATAAAAAGTTAATTAAAAAATCCGATTTTCAGATTGTACCCTAAGTGACCTTTTTAAAACCAGTACAAAATAAGAACCATTAAAGATAGGCAATTTGAATCTTCAGCAAAATTGCTTCAAATAAATTGTTCTGCGACAAAGTACACTGGTCCATTTAAAAAACTAAAAGGTTTTCATTTTGAAAATATCGCCCCAAAAATATATAAAAACTTTCCCGAAGGCACCATTTTCCTAAAATTAATGGTTTAGCGCAAACATGCTTGTCTTCCTGAATACGGCGTTGAGACCATTGTGTATTGGTTTCAGTGGCATTTGTGTCGCATAGAACATATTCGTGGGACAGTATTCAGGTATGTAGGAAAAATCATCAGCTCAAACCCCGTTTACGGTACTACCTCGTGAGAAACATGGACAGAGGACTTTTAATGGATTTGTCGTTTAGTAAGCGTAAAATTTCTCAAACAAGTGGCGGATTTCCACTGAAATAAGTACTAGAACCATAATTTTTTTTAAATTTTCTCTTGGTTGTGAAACATACAACTTTTTTTTCGAAAAGTTCATACATTCTATTTCTGAGGATTAGACAATCTTCTAATACAAATTGAAATAATGTTCATATGGGTTTTAGGAATGAATAAAGTTCGTCAAGATTTTGTGTGCTCATCATATTTTTAACGTCAAACTAATCATATCTTATTCCCGGTGAACTATTTAATTAAACTCATCTTCAAATAGAACTATTATATTACGTGCTTACAACCTACACCTGCTCGGCGGTTGCTCATCATCCTGTAGCCCAGGCATTTATTTCCGTCTGAAAGTTCGAACGGCTTTCCGTGAAATTGTAAACAGTGCTTTATTTCCACGCTATTACGATCTATACGTTAATTTTCTGCACGCGGTCAAATAGCTACTAGTCAAAGGGAGGAACAAAAGAAGAGAAGATCTATTTCATCCGAGTTCAACAGCATATTTGCCCAACACGCACCGATATGAGAACCCAGAGAGTCGTATTAATCATTCGCTGCCACTGTTTGTAACCATACACGCTTCATAAAGTGCTCTTTTGGACCGACGGGACTCTCGAAATCGTTTATCAATTTTATTGTGCATCCGTTCGGTTCAATCGGCTTATTGAATTTCACAGGCCAGTGCACACACATGTTCCCACGCATCGTTCGCATCGGTGTAATGTAACACTTTTCCAACGATTCGAGCAATTTTTCACATCAAACGATCCATCACTGTTCGTCAGCTCACTATACCTTTTCAGCCGTACTGCAACCTGCTCCGAAGAATCAAGACACAACCATTTACTTCCACCTCTTTGCCAACACTAATTTCAGCAACGGCTACGGCTACCGAGAAGGAAAATCGCTTGGCCACTCCAGAATCTTGTACCACACCGTTTCGCTCTTGGAACCGCACACTACACTATCACTAGCACCACAATCACCACGCACACACTTTCACTCACTCCTGAAGTCTGTACACAGCACAGAGTCCCAAGTGTCTTCTTCCAGATCTCAACTTGGTCCTCGAGAGCCTGCTGCCAAATACAGCCTGCGAAGACGAGATCTGGTCTCGTACTGAAACAGCCTCCAAGTGCGGTGGAAAACTCTTACCTCCGTCAGGAAAGCCGTGAAAATTCATCCCACTCGTGAGCATATAACCATCTCGCTCACATTCGCTTTTCCGTCTCCCGATTCACAGCCGAAGAATTCCGACAGGGAAAATCCAGAATTGCTTTCACACCACATAAAGCGCTCGTGAAAATTCATGAACCACAGTTCGTTTAACTGGAAGGTCTACCATCAACTTCCTTTCTTGCATTTGGTTCGTTCAATCTAAGGCTCAGCACAATTACGCATCACCACCAGCCGGATCCATTTATTTCATCCCGGTTCATGCGGGCCATCCTGGGCGGTATGGGGCAGCCACCGCGTTAAATACACGAATATACGAACGGAATGGATCCAACAAGTGGTGGCGCAGCGACTTCGGAATACAGAACTTCTAGAATGCTATTGTCACATCTCATCCCAACCTTTCAAAGCTCAGTCAGTCCGGTACCTACACACCATCATCTCAGCACAGCAGCAGCAGCATCGTCGTCAGTCGTGCCAGTAATATCGTCATCATCACATCATCGCTTGGCATTATCCGCCGGATTTCATCCGTTACCGAAAAAAAAAGTCGAGCTTAAACATTTGATCCATGGTTTATACTTCTGCTCAAAACTCGAGCAAGTTCAGCTATTTAGAAGTTTTTTATTTCTAACTGGATTTATGCGTTCAATTTTCTTCATATCTTTCGTCTTCACTGATTGCCTCAATTGCTTGTATGTTATGAATATTTCCTAGCATTTTTTTTTATTTTGCTATTCATTTAAGCCGGCATCTACCCTGTTAATTGTACAATTTACTAAAATATAAAAATTATCGGAAAGAAGGACGTCAAAATTATTCAGGAGTTATGATCTCCATATTTTCAGGTTCAACTGATGTTTAATCCATAGATGTATATTCAAAAATGCTCGTAGACCTTGATGTGAGCATAAAATTCAAAACTGCATGTGCAAAATAATAAGATCTCCAAATCGCCTTAGATTATAGATCTTAAAGTTATACCTGATCAACGAAATTTTGCTCTATGTCTCGACTAAATCAATGAAAATCATTTAAAGGTGTGTTAACAAAATATCTTCGATTCTACAAATCATCCACCAGCTCTGATCTTGATGTTCTATAGATTCAACAAGGTATTTTATGATGTCCCAACTAAAGTTTTGAACCCTTACATCTTCGTGCATCCTCATAATATAATGAGAGATATTTATTTGTTATTACAACCTATTTTGGAATCTCCAAATAATCGCAGATTTTTTATCATGATGATCTACGTTCTCTATAAAGTCCTGAATTATTAAATGAATCCGTAGAGCTTCATGTGACCTCACCACATTATGTGGGACATTATCGTCACTAAGACACTACCACCATTTATTGCGCCCACTGTCATCAGTAGTATGCTCAACAGGGAATCGACTTTGCACGCCACAGATGGCGGTACTACCACCTAATTTAAAGTGACCGTGAAATACATGTTCGATGAAAAGCATGCAAGAGTTATGCCTGTTTGTCCGTTGTACTAATCTGTAGAACTATAGCCATATGGGAACATATCTGGGATTATTCTGAAGACCTTCAGTCCTGCAGATATTTTATAATTTCATCAGGATGATCAAGAATCATTCTGCAGACCCTAACAATGATTTAAAATATTAACTGTGGTTCTTCCTCTTGATCATACTAATCAATATAATGACCTTCAGACCATGAGATACATTTTCATCATATTAAGTAGGTACGGAATTATTCCGAAAAACTTCAGAACTTCAGACGATCTCTCATTATGTTAGAAATGGAAAATTCCTGAGCTCCTCAAAAATTCAAAACTATCACAATTTTTACTAAAACTGAGACTTAGATTGTGAAAACTATGCAGAACAACTTTGTGCAAGACCGCAAGTCGATTCAACCTCTGGGCAAAAAGTTATTATTATTTTACTTTAGCCCTAGTACTCCGCGCATACCCGCAGGCGTACAAATGAGCTTGTCGGTATGTGCGGAGCCCTTGGTCTTAAGTAAAGGCTAAAGTATAAAGGTTTAAAATAAAACGTAAAGGTAAGTAAACTGTTCCCAATCTAAGTCCAACGTTAGCTTAGCTTAGCTTATCTTAAGTTAGACAAACTGCACATATCAATGGTTGCAACTACGTGATTGATCTGAACCAGTCAAATTGTACAATGAATCCACTGATTGACTGATTGGGAGTGGTCTTTCATTCTCATAGTACAATTTTTTCAGTGACTCCAAATATTTAAGGATCAATAAAGGTGCCGTCCCCGTGGAATGGAAAGGAATGTTAGGGCGAGATCTTAGATGTATTAGAAACCAAGTATACCTCTGCATCTCCACAAAGATCACAAGGGAGATTTTGTTAGAAGGTTAGGTTTGTATGATCAGGATTCACTTTGATATGTCATGGTTTTGATACAATATGTTGTTATGATGATTTTGAAAAATAAAATAAATTTTAAATGAATCAGTGTAATCATGCATTTACATATACTTAGATTTGCCTGAACGAAAACTTAAAAATCGTAACATAAATCTAAAAATGTTCCAGGATCGAAGAGCTGTAAATAAACTTAAATAATTTAAATCAGGGGCTTTTTTATCATTTCAGGCTTGCTGAAACTCCTCAAACTCACTGGAGGTTTTAAAATACTCTTGGCCTGCGACATTAGCCAGCCCTAACCTCGAGTAAGTGGGACCTCCCTTAGCTCAGTCGGCAAAGGCACAGCTACAAAGCAAGACCATGCTGGAGGAGGCTGGGTTCGGTTCCCGGTCCGGTCTAGGAATTTTTCGGGTTGGAAAATTTCTCGACTTCCCTGGGCATAGAGTATGATTGTACTTGCCACACAATTATACTAATGCAAAAATGGTACAGGCATCGAAAGCTCTCAATTAATAACTGTGGAAGTGCATCTAGAACACTATGTTGAGAGCACGCAGAAAGCTAATATGCCATACGCAATAAGCTTGAAATGCGAGGAAGAAGAAGAACCTCGAGTAAGGGGCTGCAGGAATATGGAAGAAGTAAACAAAAACTCCTCTAGAGAGAGGGAGAGTGAACTTCAGCGAGAGGATGATTTGACGTGTGGTGCGCTTTTCGAGACTACGGATGACTTTTTTGATCGACGCAAGAAGCTCAGAGTTCACCCAGAGTGAAAGTAAGAGCAACAATCAATTCGAAACTAACGATTTTAAATTGACTCACTACTTGACTAGCCTATTGGTCCCAAGCAAATCGATTAACGTACCCCATTCTAGTCAACATTCTAGTACTACGCAACGTTTGTTTTGATTAGCTATGAAAGTTTGACAGATAAAATGAGGGGTTTTTCTATGTTTCGAGGGGTGAATCGATTAGCTTGGGACCGAAGAGAGTACCAGAGCTGAGCCAAAAAGTTGAGCACGTTATTTCGGGATCTTCTAGTCTTAGAGCTACCTCTATGGTAAGAGCGTGTGATAGAAAACATGAACATGAATGGCAGCAAACCTCACTCTCATTTTATCCCTCTTCGCTCACAAACTCTGAAGCTCAGTGGAATGATTTGGCAGTAGGCATTCTACTCCTACGCTCGGCTCATTTCAAGCCATCAAGCCTGCTGCCGAAGGACGTTTCGCCGAAGATCATTTCATCGGAGTGCATTTCGTCGAAGGACATTTCGCCGAATGGGTCATTTCGCCGAATTTTAATCATGAATCAAACTGAAAGAACTGATCATGTTAAAAGAAGGAATTATCAAAAATATGGTGAAGTAATGACATTGGATTGTTAGCGGAATGCTTAAATAAAACAGCAAAAAAGGTTATCTTCCATTTAATTCCACTTAATTAATTTTGGTATCCACGACAGATACGTATTTCGACTACAATATGCAGTCTTCATCAGTGTCATTCCCACTAAATAACTAATCAAAATCTAACCCCCTTAAATACTCATCCCCTAGGTAAAGAGGCTTTGAGAAAAATACAAACCGTATAAAATGGCTTCCTCTTCGGCGAGATGACCCATTCGGCGAAACGACCTTCGGTGAAACGTCCCGCTTTTTTTAAATCAATAGATTCAATGATAGTTTTGTAACATTCGTGCTACAAATGTTGTGCTGTTAATTCTAAAGCTGCACGATAATTAGATATGTAGGCAGAACATTAAGATCTAAACTCCAAGCACTTAGGAGAACATTAGAAATTTTACCAATGCAACTCATGTGTGGTGTGATGAGGTCTCACTTAGTTCTACAGATTCATATAATAAGTCTAGTCATCGTATAAGAATTTGTTGTGCTTGTGGAACATCAATATCTAAACTCCAGGATACTTTGGAGATCTACGGGTTCAAAAATGATGTCAGGACATCTTAGAATACCTAGTAGCGTCTGTAGAACATTAAGAATTTAACTCTAAAAGATAATTTGAAGAGCTCGAAATGATTTCCTACTGCAACCATATATCCTATCGTATGCGTGATAATGTTTGCACCATCGTACAAATAAGGTTCCCGTTTCACCTGTGTATACAATGCCTTGGTTTTCTTTGCATGCACGTAACCTATAGCTCATACCGTAGTAGGCTGTGTATAAAAGAAAATGATTTACTTAGTTTGACAGTTTCACCATGGCCAAGTGGCAGCGTATTCGTGATTTGTCCCACGCGCAAATATCGCAAAAAGACATTTCAATCGCCGTGGGAGTGTCCCGGTGGACCGTCGAAAGGGTTTTAGACCGAGAAAAGAAAGGACAACTATCCGCGAAGGTGGCCACAGGTCGTCCGAGGTCAGCTCGGGTTCCGAGGGTTATCGCTGCTATCAAAAGGAAGATTCGGGTGAATCCAGTGCGTTCAATAAGGAAAATGGCAAAAGAACACGGGATCAGTGACTTTACGGCACGGAAGATCGTAAAGGAAGATTGCGGGGCGAAGTCGAGGGCACTGAAAAAAACTCAC